CCCCAAAACCCCAAAACCCCAAAACCCCAAAACCCCACAAGGGAGATATTTAGTTGAATATATTCCCGGCGAATTACCAATAACTTAGATCTCTGGCTTCTGAGCAACAAAATCATCTGGAGGAGACACATAGTCTTTTCCTTCATAATCTTTTTCCTTCACTTCATCCCAGTTGGTCGATAGAACAGTTCCGTTGGATGTCTGGTAGCTCTTAATCATTGCCTTCTTGGTCTCTTCATCAGCTCCGGCGTATATCTGCTGGAATAGGTCGTTCATGCCATCTCCGTCATTATCTCTTTCTTCCAAGTGGAGCTCTCTAGTGATGGTCTTATCGACTTCTCCCCAATTAGTGCTCTTCTTGCTGGAAGAAGGGTAACTAGGCAAGACTTCCTTAGGCTTGGCGGAGAGAGCCTCTTTGCTTAAAGCAGTCCAAGTGATTCCAGAATCCTTCTTTTTCAACTTCAATTCAACCTTCTTCTCAGTCTGAGTGAAGGTGCTCTCACCTTCATTAATGACATTGGCAAGGTGAACTGAGATTACATCCCCATTTGGCTGAGTGATGTTGATACTTCCACTATAAAGATCAGCTTTCCAATCCCCAGTGTTTTTCTTTTTTAAAATACTCAGGAATATGAACTCAGTGTTCTGGTACCAGTCATGGGGAGAGTCCTTGATGTCCTTTGCACCCTCAATCACAGGTCCTGAACAGTCAGGCGATGGAACTGGTGTAGCTGAAGGCTCTGCTTTCTTAATAAAAATAGCATCATTAATATTTCCAACATGGGGATTTCCTAATTCAAGTTCTGCTTTGCTGATCCACTGTTGGATATTTCCCTTTAAATCAGCATCTTCTGTAGATTCTTCAGCCTTTTTAAAACTGATCATTGAATTTGAGAAATCATTGGTGTAGAATTGAGCCTGCCCATATCTAAAAAGCCAGTCAGGGTTGTTTCCTTGGCTATCTTCAATAGCTTCCAAATCTTTCAAAGCAGATTCAAAATCTCCAAGCTCAGAGTGAGCAACCGCTCTGTAAAAATACAGATTGTCCTTGCTGTCCTTTGCAGTGGAGGCGTCTGCCAGCATAGCTGTGGCCTTCTCGATGACAGCTTTGTAGTGCTGGTAGATAACCAAATTAGCGACTTCTAGAATGGATTCCATTTACAATTAATTCTATAATTGTCTTAAAATATGGGGTTTTGGGGTTTTGGGGTTTTGGGGTTTTGGGGTTTTGGGGTTTTGGGG